GTAAAAGATCTTATATTTCTGATGTAGAAGTTAGCTACTGAATGCCAGACTTGGGACATATATAACTGTTTCACAGTAAAGGAGCCATGTCACACAGAACTGTATCTTTGACTGGACCTTTGATTCTATCTCAGGGCCATCAGTGGTGCTTCATCATCGATACTTTTTCAGATAACACTGTTGTTGTTCCAATCTAATCCACTGGTTCTGGCTGCACCACTGTGGTCCCTAAAACTAAGCTATGTCATATGTTCAGCCTCTTGAACCATCTACAGTCTGATAATGGTGCACCTTTTATCACAAAAGCTAGTCAGTAATGACTATCAGTCAAGGTACTAATGGACTTTTTATGTTCTCTATCATCCACAGATACTGATACTGTAGAACATTGCATTTGCCTTCTCAAATACCAACTCAAAGATTTCTGACTCTACTTCCCTCACTTCCTCCTTGTCCAAATATCTGAGTAAGGCAATTTGGTTGTTGAATTTAGCTGTCCCCAGCAAGGGATCTCTTCTTAGCTGCTTCCTGGGCATACTACCTGAGTAAAGAGCAACTTATTACTTTGGTCCTACTTGTACAAAAACAAAGTATGTAAACGAAACATGTATACTCCCCCTAATATTTTGAAATAAAACACCCCCAAAAGACAAAAGGCATGGGAAGTTATTTAAACCTAATTGGAAAATTTAGGGTTCTGTCCTAAACATTCTTGAACATGATCCTTTTCCTTTCCCTAATGATCCTGGAACAACCTGTTTGGTACCTCTTCCAGGTGACAGCCTGATGGGAAATGGGCTTAGGAGATTCTAGCTTCATTCTACTTCAGCCATCTGAATTCTTTTGATCAACTGACATCATTTTATAAGAATACTGACAACTTGGTTGAAGACACTTCTTGGTAGGTACACTTATGATGGCCCAAGTGAGCCAAAATAAGAGATATTATAGGTCTCTATGATTTATAAATATAATCTTGTCTCTCTTTTACCTGATCATTTCACATTAAAGTTCTGGGTAAGAGGAGGGGATGACTGGAAAAAAAGTGAAAGGGGGCAACAACCCTGGCACCTGGGGAAATAACATCTTAGGCACCAGAAAAGTATAAAGTAGAGAGGGATATTAATAATCTGTCTTCCAGGCTGGGAATAGTGGCTCACACCTGTAATCCCTGCACTTTGGGAGACTGAGGAAAAGGGATTACTTGAAACCAGGAGTTCAAGATCATTCTGAGCAACATGGTTGAGATCTTGTCTCTATAAAATATTTGCCAGGCACAATGGTGTACACCTGTAGTCCCAGATACTCAGAAGGCTGAGGCAGAAGGAATGCTTGAGCCTAGGAGTTTGAGGCTGAATTGAGCTATAATGATGCCACTGTATTCTCGCCTGGGCAATAGAACAAGACCCTGTTTAAAAAAAAAAAAAAAAAATCAGTCTTCAGAACCACTCTCAAAATGGAAGAAAATGCAGTGGCTCTTCTTAATGCTGCAAGCATCTTTACACTGTAGGGTATAGAGGACATCATCCAGCACCAACCCAAAGTTCACTCTAGACATAAATACTACGAATGACATAAGACTCAATTCTCAGAAGTAAATCAGTAAGTGTGTTGTGAGCCACATACAACTTACATGGTGTGCAATGTAAAAATTGATTCTAGTGTAGCATAACTCATGGACAGAAAGGAATAAAAAATAAACATTTTTCATTATACTAGAAAGGATTGTTTTTGTTTTCGAAGTTTTTATTCTACTTTTCATAATAAAAGACCATGACCCCAAGGAAAAAATCTTTTTCTAGTGTGGCAATGTGTTAAGGTCATTATTGTATGGTGGCCACCTCCTGCTACTGTAAGTTGTATTGATAGTAGCCTGAAATCCAGTATGAGAACCTTAGAATTTAGGAAAGAGCTGTGGTTAAATTGCTTAAAGCAACTCTACACTGCTTGGGAAGGTTATTGTGGAACTCATGCAAATACATAAAGTATATAAGGTGCTCAGATTTGCAGTATGGAATTATTTTTGGAATATAATGTAAATACACCTTTTGAATGACACTAGAAAAAATGACAAAATGAAAAACAAAAAAAAACTTACAATGAAAAGTATGGTTCCTTTTTTTTTTTTTTTCTCAGTTTTTTCTTGGTTTCTTTTCGGTCTTTTAAAGTATAGAGGTAGGCTCGGCGCCTGTGGCTCAAGTGGCTAAGGTGCCAGCCACATACACCTAAGGTGACGGGTTCGAATCCAGCCCAAGCCTGCCAAACAACAATAATGGCTGCAACCAAAAAATAGCCAGGCGTTGTGGCAGGCGTCTGTGGTCCCAGCTACTTGGGAGGCTGAGGCAGGAGACTCGCTTGAGCCCAGGAGTTGGGGGTTGCTGTGAGCAGTGAAGCCATGGCACTCTACCCAGGGTGACAGCTGAGGCTCTGTCTCAAAAAAAATAAAAAAAAGAAAGAAAGAAAGAAAGAAAGAAACTAAAAAAGACTTTAAAAAGAAAAAACTGGAAAAATGAGATTTTCTTGAGTGGCTTTGAAAAGCTCTCATATATTCCAGGGAACCTAGAAGGCCATGCCCATGTGCAGGGCTACATACACACCCAAGAAAGCTGTTATCTCTGTCTGACCTTGAGGTTCTGTGCATACAAGAGGTAAAGAAGGCTAAAGTTACAACATAGAGAGCTCCCCCAAAAGGCATGGAGACTTACTACTTAAAACATTTAAGAAAATTTCTGTCCAATCAGCTAGGGGTGCAGAGACTTCAATGGCCACACAGAAAGAACACAAACTTTACAAAATTAGTGCAGGAAAAGTCACTAAACAACAACAACAAACCATGTATGTGAGAGACGGGCTGGGGGAAAGACTGAGAACATACTAGTGTTCAATATCAGCATTGATGTATTATTTAAAATATTCAATTTTCGATAAGAAAGGAAAGGAAAAGTAAAGTACAGCTCAAACACAGGGAAAAAGTCAATGGAAACTATCCCTGTAAAAGCTCAGACAATGTATTACAAAAAGCCAATATGTAGTACTGCTGTCTTTCTGTCTTCCTGTTTCCAAAGGAGTTCTTCAGAGCATAATTCAACACGCTACAGTATTTATACTGAAAAGCCATAATGTTTGCAATTGCTGTAGGGATCACAGTCTTACCAAAAACCCTTTAAAAGGTTTTAAAGGGCCTAGGAAAACAACTATACTCACTTGCTCTTACCTTCATCTCCCAATGATTATAGATGTGAACTCAAATGCCTCTCAAATCAACAGAGGCCACTGTCAGAGTATGTTCCACTAGTCTGTTACCAAGAACTTTCTCTATAGTGAAATACCTCTCACTACCATAAGCAACAAAGAGGCCACACAAAAGATTTTTTCAGAAGGTTCTCATCTAAGATTTTAACTACAAACCGGATACTGCCCCATATATACAGTCCCCTTATTTTTGAAAAGAGATGTCCTAACCACATATATATCCTCAGCACAAACCTCCATGTTGCTATCCACATTCAGGTCTCTCTCTGCAGGAGAGTATTGATCTGGTTTTGACTAGCATCCATTTATCCACTCACAAATGCTTCCATGAACACCAGGTGCTAAGTGTCCAAGCATATATGCACACCATGCTCTTATCAGAAGTTTAATCTGTCACCAAACTTTACGGACCATTACAGTTCAAATATTTCTTCTGCCCCCATGTGAAAGGATTTTTACCGATCTGTGCTTTGGTATCAAGTCAATTATCAATATTGAGAGAGAATACAAAAAACAGTAACAGAAGGTAACAATGGCTCACATTTAGAATACTATGTGACAGACACCATGCTAAACACTTTACACGCATGATTTAATCCTCACAAATAATCTGATTTAGAAAGTATCATCATTACCCCCATGGGACAGACGTGGACAGTGAGTTGAGTGAAGGCTTGAGTAACTTCATTAAGGCCACACAGTTATAGATCTACAATACTAACTTAGGGAGACTGACTCCAAAGCTCTTATTCTTAGTCACTACACCACACTGCTATTATTCATTAAGTAAAGATGCCAAGGACTTTGTTCAATATATTTATTCTTTAATGTTTTCTTATTACCTCCTAAGAGAAATTCTATGTTTTAATGGTAGAGATGGATATTTGGCAACTGATTTGTTCTCATCTTTTAACAAATTACGTAATTGAATACTTTTTTTCTTTTTCTCTGCGCTAGGAGCTTCAAAACTAGGGCTATATTTAGCCCATTTACCAAGTATATAGACAGACATAAATGGCATACCATTTTAGTTATCACATTTCTAATTTGACTGATAATGTCTTTATTCCCACACCTGGCCTATGTACTTTATCTTTCCAATTTCCTTACTGAATTTTAGACAGTACTTTATTAATCTTTGTAAGCCAAAGCCTCTGAAAAATAAGGTTCAGTAAAAAACACTAACAACTTGATGCCTACAAAATAGTTTACAAGGATCCAGAAGAACTTCTTAAAGAGTTGCACCTCTACTTTATTTTAAAAGATACTGAAGATGTTAATTTTATTTTACATAAAAAAATCAAATACAAGCGAAAGAACAGGAAGTATCCAGAAGAATGTTTCTATATCCTTAAACATTTTTAATTTCAAAACATCAGTTCTTTATGGTGTGAAGCATACTATAAATTCTTGACTAACATAGTGAACATGACTGAATATGACTAACTGCACGTCATTAAAGAAATAATTGGCTCCGTGCCTGTAGCTCAGTGAGAAGGGTGCCAGTCATATACACCAAAGCTGGCAGGTTCAAGCCCAGCCTGGATCTGCTAAAACAACAATGACAACTGCAACAAAAAAATAGCCAGATGTTGTGGTGGGTGCCTAAAGTCCCAGATACTTGGGAGGCTAAGGCAAGAGAATCGCTTAAGCCCAAGAGTTTGATGTTGCTGAGAACTGTGGCACTCTACTGAGGGTGAAATAGTGAGACTGTCTCAAAATAATAACAAAAAGAAGTAAGTAATTACCTGACTTCAAGTGCTTTGATAGCTTCTAGCATTTGTAGAAACTCTGCTGCTTTCCATACGTCATTGGCTTCTTCTTCTCCTTGTATCATTAATTTTGCTGTATATGTGAACTCAATTAAATGACGAAAGGCCATTTTACTGACACCTGTAAAGATGACACACATTAGGATAATTCACATTGATTCAAATCTTATACTATTTAGTAAAAAAAGAAAAGTACAGTGCTTAGAACTTGATTAGTATTTGTCACTTTTAAAAATTATTTCCTGTAAGAATTCTCATTAACATCATAACATTGTAGTCAAATTACAATGCTCCTAGCAAACCAAGATTTTTCCTAAAGATTTTCAAAGGCTCTTATGGAATAGTAAGATCACTCAAATACAGTAGAACCTCCATAGTTGACTATTTGCCTACAATGACCACTTTCAAGGTAACCTAATTTTCAGACTGGACATGCACCACGTGTATGTACCAATATAGTAGGCCTAGTTCGTTATGGTGATCACCTCTGTATGTCAATTAGTTTGTTACAGTCCTTTGGGTTATCAACCTCTACTACATGTCAGACATCCTACATTTCTTGCAAGGGAGATTCTACAGTTATGCCAACTCAGCTCCAAAATTTTCTTTTTTTTTTATTTATTTTTTTGAGACAGAGCCTCAAGCTGTCCCCCTGGACAGAGTGCCGTGGCATCACAGCTCACAGCAACCTCCAACTCCTGGGCTCAAGCGAGTCTCCTGCCTCTACCTCCCAAGTAGCTGGGACCACAGGCGCCCGCCACAGCGCCCGGCTATTTTTTGGTTGCAGCCATCATTGTTGTTTGGCGGGTCCGGGCTGGGGATTCGAACCCGCCACCTTAGGTGTACATGGCTGGCGCCTTTGCCGGTTGAGCTATAGGTGCCGAGCCAGCTCCAAAATTTTCAACAGCTTTCCACATCTTATCAAATAAAATTCTGTACTCCTATGATTTTATTTCCAAGTCTTTTTTTTTTTTTTGTAGAGAGAGTCTCACTTTATTACCCTTGGTAGAATGCTGTGGTATCACAGCAACCTCTTAGCTCCTGGGCTTAAGCAATTCTCTTGCCTCAGCCTCCCGAGCAGCTGGGACTACAGGTGCCCCGCCACAACTCCTGGCTATTTTTTTGTTGCAGTTTGGCCAGGGCTGGGTTTGAAATATCCAATAAGGGGTTAGTTCCCCCCAAACATAAGAAACTGCCACAACTCATAGTAAAAACAAACATAAAACTACCCAATTAAATGTGTTAGGAACTTGAATAGAATATGGGTCTGACACCCTACGCACCGAGCCACCCATGCCACCCTATTTCCAAGTCTTTCATAGTATTTTTCTATTTACCTTTCCAAATTTTAAATCACAAACACACACTATAGAATTTGTTTAAATTTTTAAGATTTCAGAATATTACAGGGTTACATGCATTACTTTTGTACAGTTTGAATCTAGGGAATTATTGTGTTTAACCCCCCCCCCAAAAGTGTGTGTTGTGCCTCATTAGGTGCGAATTTACTCATTCCCCCTTTCCATTTGATTTCCATTGAATTTATTACGATACATACACATGCATGTTGATCATTTAATTACATTTTAAAAGTGAGCACATGTAGTGTTTGTTAATTCCTATAATACTTCACTTAGGAATGGTCTCCTGTGCTGTCCAGGTTGTTACGAAAGGTATTGGTTTGCCAATTTTTTTTTTTTTTTGGAGACAGAGTCTCATTTTCTTGTCCCTGATAGAGTGCTATGGTGTCACAGCTCACAGCAACCTCAAACTCTAGGGCAAGCACCCCTCTTGCCTCAGCCTCTCAAGTAGTTGAGACTACAGGCATCCGCCACAATGCCCAGACAAGGTCTCGATCTTGTTCAGGCTAGCCTCAAACTCCTGAGCTCAAGCAATCCACAGGCCTCAGCCTCCCAGAGTGATGGGATTACAGGTGTTAGCCACTACCCCGGCCAGGCCGGCTTTTTTTTTTTTTTTTAAATGGCTGAGACACACTACCTGTTATTTCCCAATAAAACCTTGCACTAGTAGCTTCCTTTCCTTTATTAACACTCTTTTTTGAATACATGATCATTTTATCTCTGGCTATGCACATCTTATCACTTGTAAAGGTCCTATCCTAATGCCACAATTTCAATGAAACTTTTTTTTATTGTAGTAATCTGAGATCTGGGCAGTGCCTGTGACTCAGTGAGTAGGGTAACTGACCCCATATACCGAAGGTGGCACTGCAACAAAAAAGTAGCTGAGCATTGCGGCAGGCACCTGTAGTCCCAACTACTTGGGAGGCTGAGGCAAGAGAATCGCTTAAGCCCAAGAGCATGAGGTTGTTGTGAGCTGTGACACCACAGCACTCTACCAAGGGCAACACAGTGAGACTCTGCCTTTAAAAAAAAAAAAAAAAAAAAGAATATGAGATCTACCATAACAACTTTTTAAGTGAACATTATTGATGACTACAGATACAATGTTGCATAGCAGACCTCTAGTGTTTATTCATCTCTCCTGAATGAAGCTTTAGACCCAATAATTAGCAACTCTTCATTTCCCCTTTCCCGGTAATGGCTATTCCACTCTTCATTTCTATGAATTTGACTATTTTAGATAATTCATGTAAATGAAAGTGATTATTTCAGATTCCTTATATAAATGGAAATGTGCAGTGTTTGTCCAGCTCATTTCACTCAGCATAACATCTTCAAGGTTCATCCATACTGTCAGACACATATGGCAGGATTTCCTTCTTTTTAAAGGCTGAATAATATTTTATTGCATACCATATTTCCTTTATCAGTTCACAGGCATTTAGGTTGTTTCCACATTTTTGCTACTATAAATATTATTGTGCTGCAATGAACACTGGAACACTAAAATATTGAACTCCTGATTTCACTTCTTTTGGATACATGCCCAGAGCAAAACTGCTGAATCATATGGCACTCTCTTAATTTTTTGAGGAACCTCCATACTGTTTTCCATAGTGGCTGTGTCCATTCCTGGCAAAAGTGTGCAAGGATTTCAGTTCTCTACATCCTCACCAATGCTTGTGGGTTTTTTTTTTGTGGGGGGGAGGAATAATAGCCAACCTGACAGGTGTAAGATGATACTTCACTATGGTTTTAACTTGCAATTTCCCTGATGACTAGTGATGCTGCATTTTTTTGATACAGCTGTTGGCCATCTGTATGTCTTCTTTGGAAAAATGTCTATTCAAGTTCCTAGCACATTTAATTGGGTAGTTTTGTGTTTGTTTTTACTATGAGTTGTAGCAGTTTCTTTACTCATTCCTTACGTTGCCTTTTTACTCGTTCTGTTGGCTGTGAAGCAGCATTATAGTTTGATGTTGTCCAACCTGTCTTTTTTTTGTTGTTAGTGCTCGTGCTTTTGATGTCATATCCATGAAATCACTGCCAAGAACAATGTCGTGAAGCTCCGTCCCCCTCCCTAACACATTTTTTCAGGACATAGAGAGATTTGGATCTTAAGTCTTTAATTCATTTTGAGTTGATTTTTCTGTATGATGTAAAATAAGGAATTCAATTTTATTCTTTCACATGTGAATAGTCCAGTTCTCCCCGTATCATTTATTACAAAGACTATCATTTTCCTATTATGTATTCTTGGCACTCTTAAAGATTAGTTGATCACACTACGCAAAGATTTACAGTTGGGCTTTCTATTCTGCTCCCATTGGTTTGCACATCTGTCTTTATGCTAGTCTCATACTGTTTGGATTACTGTACCTCTGCAATATATTTTGAAATCAGGGGTCTGATGCCTCCAACTTTGTTTTTTCACAAGATTGATTTGGCTATTTATGGCCTCTTGTGGTTCCATATATATTTTAAAATTGCTTTTTCTATTTCTGTAAAAAACACCATTAGGATTTTGACAAGGATTGTACTGAATCCAACCTTGAATATAGGCTGGGTACCTCTTAACCAAAATGCTTGGGACTACAGTGTTTTTGGACTTCGTAATATCTTCATTATAATTACTAGGTGAGCACCCCAAATCTGAAATCCAAAATGCTCCAATAATCATTTCCTTTGAGTCATGTTGGTGGTCAAATAGTTTCAAAGTTTATAGAGCGTTTCAAATTTTCGAAGTTGGGATGCTCAACCTGCATGGACATTTTAACAATATTAAGCTTTCCACGGATGGCACCTGTGGCTCAGTGAGTAGAGTGCTGGCCCCATAAACTGAGGGTGGCAGGTTCAAACCCAGCCCGGGTCAAACTTTAACAAAAAAACTGCTAGGTGTTGTAGGGGGGGGACCTGTAGTCCTGGCTACTCAGGAGGCTGAGGCAGGAGAATTGCCTAAGCCCAAGAGCTGGAGGTTGCTATGAACTATGACGCCACAGCGCTCTATTGAGGGTGACAAACTCTTAAAAAAAAATATTTAAACCTAATCTATGAACACAAAATGTCCCTCCATTTGTCTTCCTTAATTTCTTTCATTCATACTTTCTATTTTTCAATATATAAGTCATTCACCTCCTTAGCTAAGTTTATCCCTAGGTGTCTTGTTCTTTTTGATGCTAACATAAATAAAATTATTTTCTCAAATTTCGGCTAGTTCATTGTAAGTGTATGAAACAAGAAACAAATCTGATTTTTGTTTGATTTTGTATCCTACAACTTACAGAATTCATTTATTAGTTCTAATAGTTTTTATGGAATCTTTAGTTTTCCATAAATAAGGCATCATTTGCAGAGACTTCTTCCTTTCTGATTTGGATATTTTAAAATTATTTTTCTTGCCTAACTGCTCTGGCATGAACTTCTAGAACTATATTGATCAAAGTGGTGAGAGGGGGCATCCCTGTCTTCTTCCTAGAGTAAAATGTTTCAGGTTTTGCCATGGAGTATGATTTTAGCTATGGGCTTTTAGCACGTGGCCTTTAATACATTGAGATAATTTCCCTGTATTCTGACTTTATTCAAAGTTCTTATGAAAAGATAAAATTTTCAAGGCTTTTTCTTTCTTTTTTTTTTTACTAGAGACAGAGTATCACTTTGTCGCCTTCAGTAGAGTGCCATGGCATTACAAGCTCACAGCAACCTCCAGCTCTTGGGCTTAGGCGGTTCTCTTGCCTCAGCTGTCCGAGTAGCTGGGACT